CGCTAGCTGCCGGGCGTCCGCGCACCCTCCTCACGGCGGAGCAGTGCCGTTCCGTCGGTGGAACACTTCTCGGTCCACGTATACAATCTAATTGGAGAGTCGTCCCAAACTTGTTCCCCCACCCAGCTGCTGCAGCAGCAGATGTGGGGGGCAGCCAGCGGGGGTGGACTCGAGCAGCTTGCCTCCTGCTGCCGGTCGTTCACCCCCACCACCCCTTACCCCCTGCATCCTGATCCCTTTGTGCCTGCCGCCTTCTGGCGAAAGGCTCCCCACAGGCACGCCACCTCACTTCCCACCACCTTGGGGCCCTGCCTTTGCTCCCTTCTGGCCACCCCTCCCTGCTTACCCTGGCTCCAGAGGGCTGTCCCTGCTCCATCCTGGGGCACGGTGCTTGGCCCCAGCCCTGCACAAGAGCGCCGTGGCCATGCGTGGCGTCCCGGACTGGAGTGGGGACAGCTTGCCGCAGCAAAGGCGATTCGGGGGGAAGACAGCAGCTGCAGCTCTGCCCAACCTCCAGTCAGGGTTGCAGCCACAGCAGCCGCCTACTCTTCTCCCTCCATGCCTCCCCCTCACAATAGTTGATCCCAAGATAAGGTTTTTTTCCCCATGTTAAATGGGAAAAAAAATCTTGTCTTGGTATCAAATACAGTGTGTTGTAAATAAAAGATTTCCACAAGCATTTTGTAATTTAAATAACCAAGTGGTTTGTGTTTCCACCATACAAGTATCAATTTTAGTCACTCAAATTAGTTGACCTCCATTTCCAAAGGCCATGTATGTTATTCGGATGACCACTTCAGGTGTGTTGTCCGTTTGGTTCTCTATTGTACTCGTCCGTTGCAGGTCCTCATCTGTCGAAATTACCGTGGAGATGTTGATATGTCAGAGGTTGAGCATTTTATGCCAATCCTTATGGAAAAGGAAGAAGAAGGAACACTTTCCCCCATTCTAGCTCATGGAGGAGTTCGTTTTATGTGGATTAAACATAACAATTTATATCGTATCCTTTGGAATATAGGCTACTTAATAGGGTGGAAATGTTGACCGTGTAAATTTTCACAATGGAAGTCAGCATGGCGGGGGAAAAGGGGGGGGAAGGTTTTGCAGAGATAAAAAACAGTTAAGGTCAAATTCCCATTAAATACCCTATGAACAAAAAATATATACGTTTAAGTGCCAGTGCAACCAGTATTTTCTCAATGCTTACCTGTCTTTGCTTTTCAGTAGCTCAGCATTTAGAAATGACATGGCATACCTAATGAATGGTTTCCTGAGTTTCTGGGTCAGCTACAGTGCCTTAGTAAACATTTTTGAAAAGGGATTTAAAAATAAAATTTAAAAAATGGGAACTTTGAACAAACATGCCTAAACTTACTTTGTTCAGTTGTTGCAACTTCTAAGAAGAATGCTTGTGTCTCTCTGGTGTTTTCATTCCTCTATAAGGTGGTTCAAGTGAGTACACAATTGATAAAGTAGTATTGTTCTTTCAGGGAAGTCATATTGTTGTTTACAGCTTTAGAGGTCTTTGAATTCTTACTGCTGCATAGAAATAGTACATCTAATTATGCTATGGTTATATTTTGGTGATCCTTTTGCATTAACTACTAATATTTTATTATTGCACATCAGAAGGGCTTTGACAAAAACGAAAATCAATACCTTCCTCATTTCAAAGAGCATATAATCTAAAAGATACCCAGAAAGGAAAATGGGAAGCCCAAAAGAAAGGTCATCTTCGGGACAACTGCTTTGTATGCACAACTAGCATTGGAAAGATTAGAAAAATGTAGTGACACGGTGAGCTGAAAAAGGATATAAGGGGCAGGAACAGGGAAGGAAACGAACATAACAGTTACTGTAGAGGAAACCAAAAGTGGGAGATACAGGAATATTGTTGCACAATTACTTGCAATCAGCCTTGAAAATATGGATGTGACTAGGGGTGCACCGATAAAGATTTTCTTGGCCGGTACCAATAGGGGATTATTCACCAGGCATATCGGCTGATACCGATCCAATAACCGATTTCCAGGAGCACAGCTGGGCAGTGTCGAGAGCAGCTCCCGACAGGTAAGTCTGTGGAGGGAAAGGGACATGGTGGAGGGAAGGGGTTGGGGCAGATCAAAGCCCCCACAGTGAGGGAGGCAGCGGGGTAGAGGCTGGGGCTGGAAACACTGCCCAAGCAGGGCAATGAATAGGACCCTGGGGCTGGGGCAGTGAGCAGGATGGAGCTGCAGGCAGCTCATTCAGGGGATGAGCATCTCGGTGCCTAAAAATGGCAGCAGGGGTGCTTGAACTAAAGCTTATTAAATGAGCTTTAGTTCAAGTGCCACCGCCATCATTTTTAAGCGTGGGGATGCTTTTAGGAGTAGGGTGGAGGTGGGCTCCCTGCTGTGGGCTCAGGGCTCTCTACCCTGCTGCCTTTGCCCCAGGAGCTGTGCACTGGCCACGCGTTCCCTGACCACCTGGCAGCAGGAGGCACAACTTGCCGCCCCCACTGCTGGGAGATGGGCAAGGGACATATGGCTAGCGCGCAGCTCCCTGGACAAAGGCAGCAGGGCAGAAAGCCCCGAGTCCATAGCAGGCAGCCCGCCTCCACCCCACATAGAAATCCAGAGGAGCATATGCCCTCCCATGCCTCTCCTGAGCATGCATGCAGCAGTGGGGAGCCACCACCTCCTCCCCCACGCACCCTCTGGATGAGCGGCCCACAGCTGTCACACTTCCTGGCCTGGCCCCAGGGTCCCATTCACCATCCTGGCGGGGCAGCCCCTCCAGCCCCTGCCCTACTCCCTCCCTCACCGAGGGGGCCCCAGTCTGCCTTCCCTCCCCCACACCCCTTTCCCCCCCACAGACTTACTGCAGGGCACTGCTCTCCACACTAACCGCATTCCTGGCCAGGTGCATGCACGTAGAGTCTGAGGGCCCCTGCCAGAAGGCATATTATATTTATCAATTAACATTACTGGCTGCACCAGCCACAAAGAGCCGTTAGCCAATAATGTTAATTTTCCTTTTATCGGTGCTGATCCAATATGGCACCAATATATTGGTGCACCTCTAGATGAGACTTTTAAAATCAATGCCATGTGCAAGTAAAGGCTAGTAGAAAGAGTCAAAATAAGAATGTGATGCTTAGAATGAAAGTCAAGAAAGATGGATTTGTACTTTATTAAAGAGGAAATTTTGTCATTTTCCTATGAATGTGTTTTGGAAAAAAGTAAGCTTTATTTCTTTGACCTTCCTTGGGCATGTGACTTTGAGGTATCTGTCCCTTTGGACTAAGGCTGATACTGATTGTGCTTCATCAGTGTTGTATGAGACAATGTAGTCTCTGTGCCTGGTTGGCTGGTTCTTGGTGAAAGGCATGTTTCCTGGAAGAAGAATGTTTTCCTTTGTAGCTAGGCATCTATCTTGCGTGTTATGGTTCACTTCAGTTTTCAGGGATTGTTAAACTAATTAGCCAAGTCAAATGCATTCTTATTACTAATAAATATGCACATCATTCAGTCTGGAGCATTCCAACTACTATAAAAGAGTTGCTGTGAATTGGGGAAAGCACTCCTCTTCAGTGGGCAGGTTGAAAAAAGGGCTTTTGTGGTGTAACTGTATCTTTGTTCCGGCGGCATTGGTTAACTGAAGATTTCTGAAACACATAAATGTAAGGGACCATTAAGAGCAGCAGAACAGTGGGGAAGATGGTCTGTTAGTTGAGACATGCTCTGTGGGGGACAGAATTGCATTATTTCAGGAATTTCCAGAAGCTGTAGTAATTTATGTCCAAACAAACTGTCTTAAGATTTTAAAATAAAAAGCATTATTCTAAGCAATGAGGCTGAGGGAACTGGGCTTATTCAGTCTGAAGAAGAGAAGACTGAGAGGGGATTTAAAAGCAGCCTTCAACTCCCTGCACGGGGGGGTGCAAAGAGGGTGAAGCTGGCCTGTTCTCAGTGCGGGCAGATGACAGAACAAGGAGTAATGGGCTCCAGTTGCAGCAAGAGAAGTTGAGGTTAGATATCGGGAAGAACTTTCTCACTAGCAGGGTAGTAGAGCACTGGAGCAAGTTACCACAAAGAGGTGGAATCTCCATACCTGGGTCTAGACAAAGCTTTGCCCAAGACGATAGTTGGATGGTCCCGCTCTGAGCAAGGGGTTGGATTCAATGACTTCCTGAGGCCCCTTCCAACCCTCATTTTCTATGACTTAAAAAAAAAAAAAAAAAAAAGTGGAAGTATTAAATAGACACCTTGAATGTCAGGCAACTTGGGATTTCAGGTTCCAGTGGCCATAATTCTGTGTAATGTCCAATCAGAACTTTGTTCTGCTGTGTTATGGAGGTTTGTAAGTAATGTGAATTGAATTTAACTTTCTGGTATCATTTATAATAAGCCCCTTCTGTTAAGTTTTAAGGCAGTGGTTTTCAAGGATTTTGTCCCTGTACCCCTTTACCTTTAAAAAAACAAAACAAAAACCAAAGAACTGCAGCCTGTGCCCCCTGTCCTCATTGCATCTCTGCATATTCACCGATGTCAAGGTGCAGCATGCATTTGTATTGGCTGTGTGTTGAACAATCAAAAGCTCTGCCACCATTATTAAGAAATTGTACACGTACCACTTGGCAAATAGCTGCATATCTACATGTACACTCGTTTGGAAACCACTGTTTTAAATGCATATAATTGAAGATCTAGGACTTTACTCTTTTCTAACTTGAACATTTCAGGTATTTTCAGAATATTTCAAGGAGTTGGAAGAAGAAAGCATTCGGGATAACTTTGTTATTATTTATGAATTGCTAGATGAGCTAATGGATTTTGGTTATCCCCAAACCACTGATAGTAAAATTTTACAAGAGTAAGTATCTGTGTACTGGTACTTAAATGTCAATATGGTAGATGCTTTAAAAATATTTAGGAGCATACAAATGTTGGCCTGAATGATCTGAGAAAGGCCTCATTTTCCCATGGCTTAGGAAGTTGAAAGATTAATTTGTTCACTTTCCTTAACCCCCAGGTGGCTGAGGAAACTTGTTAGTCTTATGGTTTTTGTTGAAAGATAACTGCAGCATCTTACCAGAAAATAAACAAGCACGTAAAATGACAGGAGCTGGGCCCCCCCAAAAAAGTTGATCTCTTCTTCTAGTTTTCCCTTGTTTATAGTTTACATGCTGATATCAGTGTTGCTATACTAGTTGTGAAGATTACAAAATGTATTTTTCATATCTTTCACTCAACTTCTGTGATGGAAGGTACATCACTCAGGAAGGCCACAAACTTGAAACTGGAGCTCCACGTCCACCTGCCACTGTTACCAATGCTGTTTCTTGGAGGTCAGAGGGGATAAAATATAGGAAAAATGAGGTGTTTCTGGACGTTATAGAATCTGTTAACCTTTTGGTGGGTTTATATTTTACTTCCGCTATACCTTTTATATTTTTTAATGAGAAATATAGTAGTAAACAGTGTAAAGAGCTATAACATGCAAATACAAAAGATGGAACAATTGAGATTATATGCATCTGTTTATACTATCACAATTGAAATCACTTTTTAATTATTTAATATTTAATTATTTAATACTTAATTAAATATGTCACTAAGGTTGAGCATCCAATAAAGTCAATGGCATAAATAGTTGTATCTAATAATTCTTATGAATCTCAGTGATATTTTTTATGGGATTTCCATTTGTCTGGTAACTTCCAGACTGAACTACCTAATCCCCCTTTATGCATAAATCTTAACTGTATCATTCTTATAGAATGACTTTGAAGAGGGAGAGAATTCTGGATTTTTTTTTTTAAATGAGAAATCACGAGCGCCAAGATCAAGGAGAAGATGCTAGCATTCTGTGCATTTCAAAAATAATTTGTGTTGGCTGTGATGTGAAACGTTTTTTATTACAAGTGGTGTGTGTAGTAGAATCTGTTTCATGTACTGTACTATCCTTCAATTCGGGGTATCAAACGTTCAGTCTCCAGAGGTCTGCCATCTGTCCTGTGGTGCTGCCCCGGGTCTGATTGGACCCACCTGGTGTATGGCACATGCCGGGTCAGGCCCACAGGCCCGCCCCCTTCCTCAACATTCCTTCCGGTGGCTCCTCCAGCCTGCCAGCCGGCCTCACACTACTCATCTGGGATGTGGGGCTGCGTGCATTTGACATTTATTTTCAAGCAATAATGATTTATCAGAATAACTCCACCTCTCTTTGCTCTTTAGGTTAGTGCCAATGGCAATGTATTACGGAGTGAGATAGTTGGATCCATTAAAATGAGGGTCTTTCTTTCCGGAATGCCAGAACTTCGCCTTGGTTTAAATGATAAAGTACTCTTTGATAACACAGGACGTGAGTATGTATGCGGTGTCTCAAATAGCACCAGTATTACCTGGTTTATTACCCTTCTGATGTGTATAGGGCTAAGATCAAGTGTTGTATCATTTCAGGTAAAAGCATTTGTTCTTTAATGGTGTGTCATGTTGCTTTCCTGTATAGGAGTCAAGCAGTGGGGGCCACCCGTTTTTAGCCCCCATATTCTCCCCAAGTGCCAACCCAATCCCCTTCCTTTGCCCTATTTGCTGCTCTGCTTTTTGCTCCCTCCTCTCTGTTTGCTGTTGTGTTGCCCATCCCCTCCCCAGTCTGCTGCATGCCAGACCCACTGCCCATACCAGTTGTGGCACGCCTGCCACAGGTTGGTGAAGACTTGGGAGTAGAGAATTGTCTGTTTCATAGCAGGAGCTCTTTTAATGTTTTATTAGTTCAGAGACATTTTTCAGCTTCAACAATTGGAAGGGGGAATGTAAATGAAGTTTTACCACATTCACTCGCTTTGGGCCCAAAGTACCTCATACTGTTTAATTAAGCAATTCTCCTAGATCTGTCTTAGCTGTAGTTTTTGTAAGGTTTCTGTTGTCGAGGCCATGTGTTTGAGCAAACCTCATTTCAAGGATATTACTCACTTTAGTCTACAAGTTTTCTATGTTCTACTTATTGTTGACCATAATTTACATTGCAATATTAGGAATAATAAATTTGTAATAGTTTATTACATTAAATGATTTAGTATTGCCGCTTAAATACATCATGATCCTCATTTCTTGATGGTTATAAACCTCTATTTAAAATTTAGGCTTTGGCAGATTGAGATGTAAACTGCAGGCATGTATTCATAGACTATGAGCAAGAGAAGAGGTAGGTAAAGGGGAATTCAAGGGGTACTCAAATATAGAAAAGTCTTAAGTCAACCAAGATAGATAAAGTGGTATTAGCAACAGCACCCTGCCCCATGTAACATCCAGCGGGGAAATGTATTCTTTTGGACTTGTAATGCATTTCTTCCCTTCAAGACTGGAATTCCAAGCTGTGTGTGTACACTGAGCAAAAACAGAACATCACATTTTATCTTATTACCTTCAGGATTCCCTTGTGTCCTGCTCAGGCCCATATGTGTGTAATTCTAAATTTTCAGTGGTGAGTTAAAGTAGTCCTAGTTCATGTGGGGAATATTACAGTAGAGTATTTCAGTTTTTCATAAGGAGCTGTGTTTGGACTTTGGATGTAGGCCTTTAAGTTGTCGTGTTAAACAAATTAGTATTTATGTTTTCTGATAGGTGGCAAAAGCAAGTCAGTGGAATTGGAAGATGTAAAGTTTCACCAGTGTGTCCGTCTCTCTCGCTTTGAAAATGACCGGACAATTTCTTTCATCCCACCTGATGGGGAGTTTGAACTCATGTCTTATCGTCTTAACACTCATGTAAGTGTAACAGATTCAAAGCAAAAATGTATTGAATTGCAGGCAAAACTGGAAAAAGGTTTTCCAGAATCTCTCTCATCCTTTTTTTTAATTGCCCTGAAAACAGTGAAGTTTCACGCTTACATATTTGGGAGAAATAACAGATTTAGGATGAATAACTTAACAATAAATATGTGTTCTTAAATGCTAGCAAAACAGTTACAGTTACAAGAATTGCCACTCTGAATCAAAATGCAACTTCATTTTGACACTAAAATATTTCCTTTTAGTTTTATTTGCTCAAGATACTGTTACTTGCCCACAGTGCAATAGGGTGTGCTTGTCATAGCAGCTGAAAGGATGGAACTCGTTTGTAAAATCCCCTTTATAGAAATATTTATTTGAACTGCAAACAAGATTCCTTCACGGTTGGTGGAGCAGTTCTAGTCTACCGTGTTGGTCTCTACGTGTATGTGTTTACTGTCATCATAATTGTAAATGCAGCTGATCTTAATGTATTGGGTAGAGAAAAAGTAACTGTCACCTAGATTTTAGTCGGGTGCTTTGAGAAGGAGGTATAGCACATTAAAAAATACTGATATAGTAAAATCTCTATGTTTACTACTGCCACCTAGTGCAGGCATGGCCATCACACATGCCACAAGTGGCATGGGCAGCAGCTGTGTGAGATGCAAGCCTGCAGTGCTCCATCAAGGTAGGCACTGGAATGGAGGCAGGGGCAAGTGGGTGAAGTGAGAACAGGGCCTTTCTGCGAGAGGTGTCAGGCATCACTGCCAAGAGCCAGGTTAATACTTCTCTGCCTCTGCTCCCAAACTCCGGGCTTTGCATCCTTGCTTGCCATATAAACGCTTCTTTTTTTAGTTATAAAACCTTTAAAGTCACTTGTATGTTAACCTGTTCAGAGCAAAACATTGTAATCGGCCTGTCTGGTCACACTGACCCCTCTTCTCCTGGTCATACTGTTATGGAGATAAGGAAGTCTGCTTCATCAATAAGAAAAGGTAACATCCAAGAACGAAACTGGTTGATCACATACCTGTATGTGGCAAGCCCAGAATGTGCAATGCTATGGCAAGAGACAGCAAACTGGTGAACTGAAAAGATTATTAGTGATGATGTGACATGAATGAATTACTGAAATTTAACAGAATATTTTAAAGCCAAAGCTGGTGGCTATTTTTTAGCCTATTGCATTGAGTTCCTAATGCTTTCAATTATTACATTTTGTTCTGGGAGACATTGGATGTTTCTGTCATTTGAGAATGTTTCTGAGACTAAATTTAAATCTTAAAACTTCAGGGTGATTTTTGTTGTTCTTTTGTTTTTGGCATCTTGTTTTTGTAGTCAAAACTTGATGTTTTCTCATTTGTATTTCTGAATCACATGTATAGAACTTTATTTTTAGTGCCTGGGTCTAGCCAAAGCAAAATGTGTATTAATTAGATGTTTCCTATCTAACATTTTTGGAAGCTGATGTACCATAACTACTTTTTTCTCATCTCTATAAAAACTTGTTTGTTTTCCAACAGGTAAAACCACTGATCTGGATTGAGTCTGTGATTGAAAAACATTCCCACAGTCGCATAGAGTACATGATCAAGGTTAAAGGCCTCTGAATGTGTATCTTCACCTTCAGCCCCTGAATTCTGTTACTTAAATGTTTCGTTTTTTTAATATGTTTGTTTTCTGGGAAGTAGTTCTTAGCTTTGTGTTGGATGGATTAAAGTGACAGCATGAGTGTTCACAGAAGCATTTAAAATCTACAGTTTTATAGAAGTGTCTTAAAATCGCAGGATATCATGTTTTGCATGTTTGATTTGAAAGTTGGTTCTGATTTCTGTATTATACTTCTGTATGTGAATCTTCTAAAACCCTCCTGACAAACAGGGCATTTTCTAGCTCCAAGGTCTTTAGATAAGATTTTGTTAAATATGAAAATTGGAAGACCAGGGAGGGAGGTTGGGGAGTATGAATACTAAACAAAAAATAAAAAAATTACCTCTCACTTTCTTAGGCAAAGAGTCAATTCAAGCGCAGATCTACTGCCAACAACGTGGAGATTCACATTCCAGTTCCAAATGATGCAGACTCACCAAAGTTTAAAACCACAGTGGGAAGTGTCAAATGGGTTCCAGAGAACAGTGAAATTGTGTGGTCCATTAAATCTTTTCCAGTAAGCAGCAATATTATAATAGCTCTGCTAATCACTGAACACCTCAGCATTGTAGCTTTTAATGAAAATGAATCTATTTAAGAAATCTAGAACTTGATTAAAATTTGCTTAACGCACAATCCTAACATTGCACACGTAATACTGGCCGTTTTCCCCCCTGTTCTCAATGAAGTATTGAAATTTAAGACCACAGATACTTAGAGGTAATTCTGTAAGCAAATCCTGCATTTCACGTTTAGATCTGAATTACTCTCTAGTTTATGTTCTCACCTACTTCTGTTGTCCTTCACTTGCCATTCATCATATCTGTTGTGAGAAGAAAATAAGGTTCAATCACTAAAGTAATTATAACTGTCACATCTTGAGTCTCTATATGAACCATTGGCAGTAATCCCTTCCAAACACTAAAGGGATACAAGTACAGTTTCCCGTAACAATTTTATGTATAATAACAACAAAAAAATGACCTAGCTCCCTTTGTCTTTAAAAGGGGCTGGGGTTGTGGTATGACATTTGGAGCCATAGGTTTTTTTTCTAGTTTGTCCATAATCTGATCTGGAGCTCAACTTGTAAGAACTTTTTTTTTTTTTTTAAGCAAATGTGTAATCACTCCATATTTATAGCTGGAGAGCTTTGCCATACCAGAAGCACATTTGTTTTCCCAAAAATGTTTTCTTTTGAAATGACTGACTTTTTCACTTTACTTTTTGGCAGGGGGGAAAGGAATATCTAATGCGAGCTCACTTTGGGCTTCCAAGTGTTGAAGCTGAAGATAAAGAAGGCAAACCACCCATTAGTGTCAAGTTTGAAATTCCATATTTTACCACTTCAGGAATCCAGGTTTGTAACAAAAAATAGAACTTCTAGAAAATTAAATGATTAATCTTTTTGGTCATTTAGCTGCTGGGTAATGCTACCTGGGTAGTAAAGCCCAAAGCTGATGGTGAGGCTTTGTTTACCTTAGTTCTACTAGCCTCTTAATTGAATCTTATGTTTGCTTAAGAAACTAGGAAAAAGAACATTTCTTGTTATCTTTTCTTGAAACTCATCTTTGTGTTTTTGCTGAAAGTCTCCCCTACTGTTTCAAAAGAAGGCTAAGAAAGCCTCTGACTGGCTTTGTGTACACTGCTCACTGTATTATACACCTCTCTCTTATATTGCCTTTTGTTTGTCTCCTCTAAACAATTTTCTTTTCTATTCCTTGTATGGAAACAGTTCGGTTCGTCTGATTTTCATCCTCAACTCTTGCTTCCCTGGCAGTTCCAAGAGGAATGCCTTTTTAAAAAAAAATACAGGTGGTGACCAAAACAGCACATGAAGTTGTGCTCCCACCTTGAATATTTGTGGTGGTGTTATTTCTGTCCTTTTTCTATATATCCTGGCATTTTACTCACTCTTTGACTGCTGCTTCCCATCCATAATTATGTCCAAAGCTTTTGTTTAATATGTCCTCAGTTAAAATGTTGTGGGCTCCAGTAAAAAAGTTGCATAAGGTGCTGAGTGGCTTGTTTTTATTTATTTAAAGGTCCGCTACTTAAAGATCATCGAGAAGAGTGGGTATCAGGCTTTACCATGGGTTCGCTATATCACCCAAAATGGAGGTAACTTTAAAAGATATCATCTGTAAACGCTGAATTTACACATTATTTTCTTACATCATTGCTGCACAAGCACTCATGTTTGTTCTCTCAGTAATCGTCTGCATCATGCCTATAGACTACTGGAAGCCAACCCTTTTGGCAGGCATGCCATAAATCGGGCTCTGCGCCCTCCCTGAGTGCCACTCCAGTCCCCTTCCCCTGGCCAATCTGCTTCTCTGCTTTGTGCTCCCTGGCCAATCTGCCACTGTTCTGCCTGCCCCCACCCCAATCTGCCATGTGCCCCACACACAGGCTGTCTGTGCTACTTGTGACATGTTGCCACAGGTTAGCCACCCCTGCTCTAGACTGCTCTCACTTTTCAGTGTGAAATCATTCCATGCACTACTGCTATAAATCCTTTTAAAAATACATGCCTCTTTCTAAACACCCTATTGTTGCTGTTATGGAAGTGCTAGTGATGGCTGTACATTGATGAGCAAATTGAGTATTTTGCAGCTAAAGAAAGGGTTCTGCCATTTGAAGTTGATAATTGTCTTTTGAAGTATGTCTCTCAAAGCTGACAGTGTCACTGTTAATACTGAAGCTGCTGAGTCAGTTGGACAGTCAGTTTGGGTGAACAAAAGTTACTCTTACCTGTTACTTGTTTAACAGTGAAGGAGCAAAACGCTTCTCTTCCAGATGCAACTTTGGAAACAATTCTTTATATTTTTTTTTTTTTAACTTGACTGAACTCTGTTTTACTTTAGCATTAGCATTTCCTAAATATACGTGGTCTGATGTAATTATTTTTGTTTGGCAATGAAAGATGAGCTAATGAGTTCTACTGTGTTTTGTTTTGTTTTTCTTCTCCCTCTTTCTTGCAGACTATCAGCTCCGAACACAATAAGAATTTTTGTACCCGACATAGACAACTGTACTTCAGGCCTAAAATTTGTTTGCAGAAATCTTTACTGTATTGAAGACTGCAGACTCTTGTTTCCAGATGTATTATTTCAGCAAACTTGAACTGAGGAGAAGGAATTGGTTATTTACTATGTTCAACAAGCAGTGTTTGGACCATTAGTACAGATTGGGTAGATGTTTATATCATTCTTAGAGCACATTAATTTTGCTGCTAAATGTTGATTGTGTTGGGAGTAGCAGGTTTTCCTGAGAAGCCAGGCATGCAGACTGAATCTCTTTATAGTCAAATGTCAGAGTTTCCAGCGTCCAAACTTTCAAAAGAATACTAATGCCATCTGTAAAGCCATTAGCAGAATCATATTAAAAACAGGGAAAATGATGGTGCCACTGAAATGACTGCTAAGCATTCTTAGTTGTGCTAACCCAGGATATTTATTCCGCTCAAAAATCCATCTTCTGGGTGATGATTTCTTTAATTAAGGCTGTATGAGCTTGCAACGACTTAAAGATGGATCAAAAAATTGTCATAGATTCAGAATAAAAGTTGGTTTTATTTCAGATGTTTAGGTCATGTAATCTTTGACAACTTGAAGTGGTGGGATTGTGCACAGTTTTAAACATACAAATACTAGAACTGCTATGTTACGTCCAAGGTGAGAGATGTCAAGAAAAAATGTCTGTGGCCATCGCTGCAGAATCAAAATGAATGCTAGTGGCTAGCAGAGATTGCAAAGCTGAGGCATTTAAACAATTCGTGCCAGCTAGCACAATGCTTGCTTGGCTTTGATATTATCAAAGGAAAAAGAAAATTAAAACTTGGATTAAACAAGCTGAGACTTCAATTTACATTGAGAAGGTCAAAAACAATATGGTTAAAAGAAAACCTCAGTAGGAAGACACTTGATCATTAGAATAATTCAGGTCCTTCTTGATTCTTTCCAATCTATTAGCATCTCAGTGGATAACAATCAGAAACTGCATCCCTATCACCCAGGTTAGTTTCATATAAATTTTCTCATTTTTTCAACATGCACGTTAAAGAACTTTAAACTTGCTCCAGCTTGTCTGGAAAAGTTGTTTTCTTTCCCTGTCTTTTTTCCATTTAAGTAGTTACCCGGTTCTTTATTCTAAGCTTGTTGACACACACTGCCACAGAATGTTACATGGTCAGGGCAGATCCCCTGCCTGGGTTCGTGTGTGTTTCTTTATTTTGTATGTTTGGTTTTTTTACATACTGCTGTTGTTTTTGAAGATAGAGCTGAGTTGCTTCTGTTCTAGAAAATGTTCAACAAATAATTATAGCAGGGTTCTCTTCAAAAAGGACTTCCAAACACCTTTATTTCTGGTGTGATGGTAAACCTGACAGTTGTTATATTGGCAGATTTGAAGACTGAATGTTTCTGCCCACAGATGGATGCCTGCACTGCCCTATTAAATGTCCTGAGCCCTGTCTCAAGGGTGAGAGGATAACTCAGCAACTGTAACCCTCATATTCTGTTGCATATATTATTAAAAAAAAATCAACCAAATTCCCCTGAGTAATGTAGCTTTATATTAAAGGAGGACTTATCTCAGAAAAGAGTCCTGCTGATGTTTGTCACAGTGCTAACATAAAGGTGTGTCTAGAAGACAGTATGGGGGAGAGATGGATGATGAGGCAGAATACTAAGTGTGGATGCATGTATTCCAAAGTAAGTGATGTCTGTTACCCAGCAAGTCTGCTGACAAAAATTATTAAATCACGTTGTCCAAGATTTTTGGTGTACTTTGATTGTTTGGGG